AAAAGGACTTAAATCTGAGACAAAGAAGGTGGATGGAATACATGGAGGATTATGACTTCACCTTGCAGTATCATCCTGGAAAAGCCAACGTGGTAGCAGACGCTCTCAGCAGAAAGACTCCAGGAATCCTACCATCTTTGGCATTGGAAGATTGGAAACAGAATGCAATTGTAGGTGATTATGATCTTCAGTATTATGAGGATTCTAACCAAGCTATGGTGTACAACTTGGTTTCAACGCCAATTCTAATACAGCAAGTCAAGCAGAACCAATGGCAGGATTTGCATCTTCAAGGAATTTGGACTCGAGTTCAGAATGGAGAAAAACTGGACGAATGGAATATTCGGGAGGATGGAACGCTCTACTTCAGGAATCGCCTTTCCGTTCCTCAAGTGGATGAGATAAAGAAGACAATCCTTCACGAGGCTCACAAATCGAGGTTCGCTATTCACCCTGGGAGTACCAAGATGTATCAAGAGCTCAAAATGCAGTATTGGTGGAGAGGTATGAAGAAGGATGTTCGCCAATACGTGTCAGAATGTGCGACTTGTCTTTGAGTCAAGGCTGAACATCAGAAACCTGCTGGGGAACTGCAACCTCTTCCTGTTCCTGGATGGAAGTGGGAACACATTACAATGGATTTTCTGATGGGATTGCCGAGGACTGAACATCGGCATGATGCCATATGGGTCGTTGTGGATAGGTTAACGAAGTCTGCGCACTTCATTCCCTTTCGTGCGACTTATTTCAGGAAAGTTCTAGCAGAGTTGTATCTGGAGTACGTTGTCAGACTTCACGGAGTTCCGTTATCTATCACTTCATATCGTGACTCTCGTTTCAATGCTAGATCTTAGAGAAGTTTCCAAGAAGCCATGGGAACCGAACTGAATTTCAGCACCGCATTTCATCCTCAGATCGACGGACAATCTGAGAGAGTTATTCAGATTTTGGAGGACATGCTTCGCGCTTGCATTCTAGATTTTGGTGGAAACTGGAAGAAGTATCTTCATTTAGCTGAGTTTGCCTACAACAATAGTTATCAGAGTAGCATTGGGATGGCCCCATTCGAAGTGTTGTATGGCAGACCTTGTAGATCGCCAGTTTGTTGGCTTGAGTCAGAAGATCAACTGACCCTTGGACCGGATGTTATCCAAGAGAATAATGAAAAGATAGCCGTGATCCGGGAACGACTGTTAACAGCTCAGAGTCGTCAGAAGAGTTATGCTGACAGGAGGCGTAGACCCTTAGAGTTCTCAGAGGGCGATTCTGTCTTGTTAAGAGTCTCACCGCGCAAAGGAGTCACTCGTTTTGGTAAGGGACACTCGCGCCGAGGTACATCGGGCCATTTCAGATTACACAACGAGTCGGTGTCATTGCTTACCCCTTCGATCTTCCTCCAGAATTGTCTCACGTGCACAATGTGTTCCATGTTTCTATGCTTCGAAAGTGTCAACCCGATCCAGAAGCTATTGTACAATGGTATGACGTGCCGATCCAATATGACACGACTTACGAGGAAACACCTGTACAGATTCTTGACCGGAAGATGAAAAGCCTACGTCAACATGAGCTACCATTAGTGAAGGTGTTGTGGCAACACCATGGCGTTGAGGAAGCGACGTGGGAATTAGAAACGACAATGCAGGAACGATATCCGTATGTGTTCATATCGTGAGGTAAATTTCAATTTCAGGGACGAAATTTCTTAAGGGGGGTAGAATGTAACACCCTCCGGAATTAAACTTGTTTACTTATGGTAATTGTGGTTTATTAGTGTGCCTAAATTGATTTCTTAATTATTCATGAACTTTTAAATTTATTTTTCGTAATTATAGTTTCACCCCTCCTTACTTTTATTTGTCTTTCTTTATTATTTCATTTCCTCATTTTATTTTCCCTTTTCTTCTTTTCTTTTCCTTCTTTCTTTCCTTTTTCCCTCCTCTCCCGTAACCCTCTCACTCACTCACACTCTCTCTTAGTCTCTCCCTCCCCGAGCTCTCTCTCTCTCTCTCTCTCTCGCCCATCTCTTCCTCTCTCTTTCTCTCAAGTTTTCTCTCTCTCTCAAGAATGTTCTTGAACCGGATTTGAAGAAAAACGGGGATTTCTAAGAGGTTTTCAACATCAAAGCTTGGATCGAGGTAAAACTCTTTGAAACTCACTTTAGATTTTCAGATTTAGCCTTGTGGAACTCGTTTTAGTCGAGTTTGGTGATTTTGGTTTAAATTTTGTTTTCAAATGGAATTCGAATGGGATTTGGTGACACCTTGATGAAAATTGGGGGTTTTTGATTCTTTGGACCCTATTTGTTGATTTGAAACTGGATCTACACATTTCCTTTGAGAATATGTACATTGACTTTGAACTATGGCACACTAATATGATACAATTGCATCTAATTAAACAAGAATGTTTGGTGAGAAAGATCAAACTCTAAATTGTTGATTTTGATGGGAAAGATAGTGGCACAATTGGAATTGGAGCCTCAAAGGCAAGCGTAGCTAGGGCTACGTGAAGACAGCCACAGGTTTGATATCCAACAGGTAAGATATTCTTGTCCATATCCTTGTTAGTCCTACTTTAAATGGTTTTAGCCAATGAAAATGTTTTAGAACAAAACATGTTTAAAGAAAATAATTTTGAAAGAAATAGCATGTGAATGCTATTAGGTTTTCCAATGATTTTGTAAATGAGATTTTACAGAGTATCATTTTTTAAAATGAAATATTTAAGGAATGATACAACACATGGTGGCCACAGAGATCGGGATGTAGGAATCGCATCCTTGGGGGCAGGTCCCGAAACCCGTACGGATCCACTTCTTGTTTAGTGGAATTATGGCTCTGCACTTTTCATAGACATACATTTTTACCGCTTCTTGTTTAGTGGTATGATGATCTGCACACTTTCATTATACAGACATTTTCTACCGTGAGTATTTCCTTTTCTAAAAATGGATGATCGGTTCCGGGTGTATATTTTCGGACCGTGAGTACCTTTATTTTAAATGCTTTATAAAATTATATCCTACTGGACCTTTCACTCACATTTTTCTATTTTCAAATGTATTAAACCCCTCCAGGAGACGCGAGGAGTAGTGCGGAGTAGGTAGCTATTACCGGCAACGTAGACTTGTTTCAGGAAAACGAAGAGTTGTATTTCCTCTAATCCCTTACCTAAACAGCCCAGAAAACCCTGTTTTGACCCCAAAACTTGATGTGGGATTGACCTAACCTCGTTTGAGAACTCAAAATGAGTGGATTAGCCATAAGAATCCTTGTTTCCCATTTGATTCTCCGGAATGAATCTCTATCTACAAAGAATCATGATTTGACATAAGAATTGTTATGAACATTGATTTTGAACTATGGCACACTAATATGATACAATTGCATCTAATTAAACGAGAATGTTTGGTGAGAAGGATCAAACTCTAAATTGTTGATTTTGATGGGAAAGCTAGTGGCACGATTGGAATTGGAGCCTCAAAGGCAAGCAGAGCTAGGGCTACGTGAAGACGGACAAAGGTTTGATATCCAACAAGTGATATTCTTGTCCATATCCTTGTTAGCCTTACTTTAAATGGTTTTAGCCAATGAAAATGTTTTAGAACAAAACATGATTAAAGTAAATGATTTTAAAAGAAATAGCATGTGAATGCTATTAAATTTTCCAATGATTTTGGAAATGACATTTTAAAGGGTATCATTTCTTAAAATGAAATATTTAAGGAATGATACAACGCATGGTGGCCACAGAGATCGGGATGTGGGAATCGCATCCTTGGGGGCAGGTCCCGAAACCCGTACGAATCCACTTCTTGTTTAGTGGAATTATGGCTCTGCACTTTTCATAGACAGACATTTTTACCGCTTCTTGTTTAGTGGTATGATGAGCTGCACACTTTCATTATACAGATATTTTCTACTGTGAGTATTTCCTTTTCTAAAAAGGGTTGATCGGTTCCGGGTGTATATCTTCGGACCGTGAGTACCTTTATTTTAAATGCTTTATAAAATTATATCCTACTGGGCCTTTCGCTCACCTTTCTTATTTTCAAATGATTTAAGCCCCTCCAGGCGACGCGAGGAGTAGTGCGGAGTAGGTAGCTACTACCGGTGACGTGGACTTGACCGCGGGAAGCGAAGAGTTGTATCCCTCTTAGCTTTTATTTCAAGGCATGTATGAAAGATTATGGATTGTAAACTTAAATATTACTAGACTGTGGTTGATGTCACATTTACTCTTGTTTATATTCATGTATGTTAAACACCTGTGGGAATTCCTGACATGATACCAGGGACGTGGTTTTAAACTGGTTTGGTTGGAAATTCCACCACCGTTCTTGAAATTGAATTCCTCTTGAAAAAAAAGGGGGCTCGTTTGAAAATACCTGGATGTTTTGGATTTGAAAGAAATTAAAATATTTACTAATCACTCTCTCAAACAGGTTTAAGTTTCTAAACGAGCATCCACGTCACTAACCCCGGTTGGGGGGCGTGACAAAATTAAATAGCAAAAGCAATTAAAACAAACAAAATCTCGTAAAGATGTAATGATTTAAAACTATTCAGTATTTGTATGGTACTCATTTATATTTTATCAAAGCTTTTCTAACTTTAAGATTGTGTGAACCATTTATTTTGTGAATTATTATTATTATTATTTTTAGTTTCTTAAAAAATTATTGTTATTTTTTAAAATAGGAGCAAGTGGGAACTTTGTTGCTAGACCAACAGTACCAAACCAAACACATGATTTTCAGAAACGGTCTCAGCCTAAATCTCAAAAAACTTGCCATATTCATTTTCATTTTCCTTGCACCAAACAAAATCATTTTGAAAACGCTCCCAAATGGACGCCTAGTTACTTATTTTCGCTCACGCTTCTCTTCATTCACACTTACATTAACACCTATGAACTTACATACTGGTAATTTTTCCTCCATTCTAAAACAGCCAAAAATCGAAAGAGGGAATAAAATAGAAGAACCATGTCTAATATCACATATGTGAATATATACAACAGTGAGTTAAGGCGTGCAGTACTATTACTTACCAATAATAACACATTACTAATAATTAACACATTACAACTATCGAGCCTCTAAAAGAGTTACAGTAATCTCATTTGAAGTGAATTCGTGTTTGCTTGACAAAGAATCTGCTCCAAGATTGTTTTTCGCCATTGAGAAACCCGGTTGTTTTGGTTGAGGCAAAGTACTTGAATTGCTCAACATCACAACGGCATCAGACATGCTTGGCCTATCTTCAGGGTGTTCTTGCACACACAAAAGTCCGACATGGATACTGCGCAATTGCTGAGAAGTATTACTCGAGACGTGAAAACAAGGATCGATCACTTCGAGGGGTCTTCCTTCTTTCCATAATTTCCATGCCTAAACCAGGTCAATAGGAACAGATATGTGGTGAGCTTTTAGGTTGTCTTACATATTAGATTCAAGGATGTGCAAAAGAAATGAAAACTTACATGATCTATAAGGTTAAGACCGCGGTCCAAGTGATAGAGTCCTCTGTTCTTCTTTCCAGTGATGATCTCCAACATCAAAATACCAAAGCTGAAGACATCGGACTTCGTGGAGAATAGCCCGTCAATGGCGTATTCAGGTGCCATGTAACCACTGCAGGAACAATAGTATTATCCAGTGCACGTCATTATTGAATTAGATCATGAAAATGTGATTTGAAGCAAATTAGGAAAAATGACTTACTATGTTCCAACCACTCTCTTTGTATTGCCTTCACTTTGATCTCCCATAACAGTTCTAGCCAAACCAAAGTCTGAAATCTTGGGATTCATCTCGGCATCAAGTAACACGTTACTTGCTTTGAGGTCCCTATGTATAATCCTTAACCTAGAATCTTGGTGTAGGTAGAGGAGCCCTCTTGCAATTCCACATATTATGCTGAATCGCTTCGGCCAATTTAAGAGTTTGCTTCTTGTTTGATCTGCCATATCATCCAGCTGGTTAAAATGAACTCAAGTAACATCACACTGGAATTTTCATTTAGTGATGAATAAAACTACGAATTACGCAACTAATGTTTGTTGATACTTCTTTTAATGTACTGGTATACAACTTGCAAATTTGTGCGGTTATGGAGTAAGTTGACGAACCAAATATGAAGAGGTCGAGGCTTTTGTTCGGCATGTATTCATAAATTAGCAGCTTCTCTTCTCCTTGAATGCAACAGCCGAGAAGTTTTACGAGATTACGGTGTTGAAGTTTGGATATCAGAGCAACTTCATTTTTGAACTCATTCAATCCTTGTCCAGAACTCCTTGAAAGCCTCTTCGCCGCAATTTCTTGACCGTTTTCTAGCATGCCCTGAACATTCATTGGTAAGAGTATTCTGATATACCAATATAACCAAGATTATACTTTGGCTATCAAATATAGTTATTAGAATCATCAAGATTACACTTAATTATTAGTGTCATCTCATTGAATTACCCGATAAACAGGTCCATAACCACCTTCGCCAATCTTGTTGCTGATTGAGAAGTGATTAGTCGCAGTAGCAATTGTCGGCAAGTCAAATAAGGGTAACTCCAGGTTTGGAGACTGGTCTTCATTGTTCTGACTAATTAACTCACCGGTCTGTGTGTTATCTGATTAGAGGAAAACATTTTAGAAAGAATAATTTAACTGATTCATTTGCCTTGGATATACTACATTAGTTATTCTGCTTCATCATCAAACATAAAGACCACACTAGTATTTTTTATGATTGAAAAGTAATTAACGAATGTTTCTTATTGTACAAACATGACGTTCTCAGAGGATACCAATTTGAACTATATTTATTTTTTCTTTTTTACTTGAAGAAAAGTTCGGCGAGGGGCAACCAAAGTTAGCATATGCCTCATAGTCATTACCAAATGGCTTCCTAAGACGTAGGTAGGAATATTCACTAAAGGCCCTACAAGCAAGCCATACATTCAGACGAGGAGCGCGTGTGTCACCCTAACCCCATCGAATGTGTCAACGGTAAGGGTATGTGAGGCCGTGATCACAGGTATTTTAAGTCGAGTACTAGGGTAACTCAAAACTCGAACATGTGACCACAGGCTGTCACATTTTAATTGAGTCTTTGAACTAGATCTGCTACAATATATCTATACCATCGTCGGAATTAGGATTTACCTGATGTTGAGGGCCGTGTCATGAATCTGCGGATGTAATGGGCAACTAAGAGCGCTCCAAAGACGACGAGAATGAGACTTAAAACTGTCACTACTATCTTCACCTTATGATCATCTTTCTCTGCATTTTCATGTTTGGCAAATTCAGTCATGTTACAACTTAAAGAAAAGAAAACAATCATTTTACTTTTAACTAACAATAAGAAAATACATTAATGGGAGATATAGAAAGGAGAAGTAGTTCCGATAATATAATCGTACCTAACTCTGAAGAATGCAATCGAATATACATATCTTGGCCACCACCATCTGAAAACTGTCTAACGTCAATCAATTCGCCGAACCACATAATACAACCTGTACCTTTTCCTCTAATATCCGAGTTCGCGTAAGCTGTGCAAGAACAATTGTTCAAGCATTTAGCTCTGCATTCCCGGAGATTCAAACTTCCGTCCACCCGCGACCGCTTGGTGTCCGGTAATTTCAAGCCCGAAAGTTTCATAAACCCGCCTTTGTCTCCACGCTCGCACTCCAGGGGCTTGTTTCGCGCACACCCTTCGGACCAATCCGTTACTTTCTCCGTCGAATTTCGTATGAAGCCCTTTAAGCATTGGCAAACCGGGGAGTCACCAATGATGCAGTTCCCATAAGCCCCACAGAGGTCATAATTATCGCAATAGTCCCTTGGAACCGAAGCAAAGACTTTCCAAGTTCGAGTCGTCGGATTCCAAATATAGCGCTCGCGTTGATAATTGGTCTGGTTCATGACAATCCTTGATGTTACAGATTTGCTCGTCAGGTGATATGTATAGTACAACTCTGATTCATTTGACACAAAATCGAACTCAAACAAAGGGTTCCGACGTAGCTCCGGCGCACCGCTGAACCTTATGCCATTCCAGGGTCCACTTCGGTAGTACTCTTCCGATCCCTTTCTCATGACAAGCTCCTGAAACCTACTAAGTTCTATCCCGCAAGTGAAGTCTCCTACGGAAGGGTCGTCGGGGCTCTTCCACGACGAAAGGCGCCGCTCAACACCGGTCTTTAAGTCCCATCCGAGCTTCATGCCCGGTAACAACGTGTCGGAAGGATGATCAAAGCTTTGCCACAGATAATAATTCTCCGAGTAATTATGCGAATCCGTATCTCGCAATACTAGGTTCCCAGTGTCTAAAAGCTCAAACGTCGGAGCGCCTTTGACAGGACTCGTTCGATAATCTGCCGACCACACAATGGAGTCATTCTGGCCCAGAAGGACAAGATGACCGGTGCTGTTTATCGTCAAAACTCCGGATGAGCCTTCGATCGGATTCTCGCGGTTCGCCACCCAAACATAAGTCCTGAGAGGTATTTTCTTGTACCAAATTCCCAAGTACCGGTTTCTCGAGCTTCCTGGAGTGAAGAAACCGAGCTCAAATGTTCCGTCATTAGATACTAAGGTCCCGTTTTCACTGTCACTGATATTATTAAACTGTGTCTTCGACATGGTATCAGAAGCCATGTTGAGTTCAGTTAAGGCGACAATAAGTAAAACGAAACTGAAAAACTTAAGAGCAGGAATCGCCATTTTTTTCCCCCCCTAATACTTTGAGATCTCTGCTTGGCCATAGCATATTAATCAAAGGCACTGTAGAGTATTGAAAGAGCAAAAGATTTTCGTCAAAGAGAGCTAAGACTTTTGTTCGACTTGTTGACTAGGAGACCTTCGATACAGTTGCTGACACACGTAATTTGATGGTAACATCTTTAATTATCTTATTATTGTGGTAGATATTTTTCGGAGAATATCTAACGAGTAACCGCGCTTTTAGGTAAATTGTACGATTGCTACAGGTAATTTTTCTAACAGGATTGAAAAAAAAAATTATGGATACTTCTTTCTTTTTGAGCTGTCATATCATAAATTATTTATTTTATATATATTTTATTATTCTGATATGATTTAATTAAATTTAATAGTTAAAAACAGACTTCACTAGTAAGCCGATTTACAGAGAATTATCAATTAGGTTTTTAAAAGATGTAAAAATATAATCTTTTAACCTAAATAAATAAGTTTTAGGGTAAAAGGAGCCAAAATGAAATAAAAATAATATTTCAGGACAAAAAAAGAGTAAAAAGGACTAAAATGAAAAAATAAATTAATTTTAAGCCACCACCGGAAAGAAAGATCTAAGTAGGATAATATTTGCTAAAAAAATGTTTATTTGGGTAAATGAAAAAAAATTAAAGAAAGGTAAGAACGAAAAACATAAAATTCAAGGAAAATCAAATGGAAAAAAAAAAGATGAAATGAAAAGAAAAAAATAAAAAACAAATCAACGAAAATGCTCATTTTGAGTGCTTTATAAAATATACTAGTTTTATAACGTGTTCTGTATGTATTGTCGTGCTGGAGATACATAAAGAGTTTATTGTTTATCAAATAATGAGAAAGTCATTTATATAACCATTTAAGGATTTTTAAATTTATTTTAAAAAAGAATGTGTGTAAAGATAACAATTGACAAAAAGATTTAGTGACACATTTGAAAAAAATTATTTTAACCAACCAAAAATAAAATAATAACACGTGTAAAAAACAAATTACTTTCATAGGAGCAGAGTGAAGAATAATATATTTTTAAAAAATACACAAAAAATAAAGTCAAAATTTTCAAAAAAATAAAGATAAAAAAGTAAAAAATAAATTAAATGGAGGAGCTACCACGTGACAGCCACATAGAGAAGAGCTTTAGCTTTTTATGTATTGTTATATATATATATATATATATATATTAAAAAATACACAAAAAATAAAGTCAAAATTTTCAAAAAAATAAAGATAAAAAAGTAAAAAATAAATTAAATGGAGGAGCTACCACGTGACAGCCACATAGAGAAGAGCTTTAGCTTTTTATGTATTGTTATATATATATATATATATATATATTGTAATGACTGAGAAAATTCCAGACCTTAAATAATACAATTCATGTATTTTTAAGCCAAGGATTTTCTTAGAAAATATTATGTTATATTGTGAATGGAGGATTTATGGAATTAAAACAATATTGAATTATTCAGAAATTGATATTGGACTGTAAGTAGTAGATTAACTTACGTGAGCTAAACTAATTACCTCTAATCAGTATAAATTTAATCTGTTTAGAGGAAATAATTGAGGATAAGATCAGGCACGTAATCTTGCC